GACAACAACAAAAAAAACGACAAAAGGAAGGAACAAAAGGCAATCTCAGATCTCAGTCCACCCAAAACAAGTCCAGAAGACAAGGTCATGGAAGAACTTGGAAGTCACACATCTGATATATCTGAGATGATAGAAACTGAAGTAAAAAAACAACTTCATCAGGCTATGGAGGAAATCAGATCAGATATAATCTCTTGAGTAAAAAAGGAAATGAACAACAATCATGAAAGAATTATTCAATACATTTAAGAAAGACAGATTTAAAAAAGAAGGGAATAGAAAAATGATGGAAGCATTGAATGAACAATACATTAAGAATTCCACTGAAAGCTGGCAAAACCACTTGAATGAAACAGAAGATAGAATTTCAGACCTTGAAGATAGCATTGCACTTAGTGAACATGAAAGGAAATATCTCTTAAAAATAATGAGAAATCAGGAAATAACAGAACAACAGCTGCAAGATGATGCAAAGAAAAATAATATAAGACTAATAGATATCAACAAAACATCTGGAGATAATACAAAAGACATAAAATGAGTGTTTGCTGAAATAGCAGTAGAAAATTTCCCAAGCATGGAGAAAGAATCTGATATACAGATAACAGAAGCATAAAGAAACCCAGCTGGCTATAATCAAACAAATTGTCACCCAGACACATAATAATCAAGATCCCTGAAATTATACAAAAGAACATAATATTAAAAACTATTAGAGAGAAGAAACAGATCACCTATAATGAAAAACGCATAAGAATCATGACAGATTTCTCAACACAGACCATCAAATCAAGAACAGTTTGGAGTGAGATATTTGAGGTCCTGAAAGAAAACAACTTTGAACCCCAATAGATATATCCTGTAAAAATATCTATCAAATTTAATGGAGAGATTAGATACTTCCATGACAAAGAACTGAAGAAATTCATGACAACCAAACCAACCCTACAAAGAGTACTGACATACTTTAGAAAGAGACAAAGATGACCACAACACCAACAGAAGAAAACTACCAAGCAGAACAAGCAGTTAAACAAAGGGGAAAATCAGGAATCCTACAGTAGGAAAACAGCATGACAAAGATACGCCAATACATATCAGTTATAACTTTCTATATAAATGGCCTCAATTCACCAATCAAAGTAGGCAGACTGGCAGGGTGGATTAAAAAACGAAATCCAACAATATGCTGCATACAGGAAACACATTTAACTCAAAAAATTAATAAACTGAATGTCAAAGGATGGAAAACAGTACTCCATGGGAAAGGAACCTAGAAAAAAGAAGAGGTAGTTATTCTGGTTGCTGACAATGTGAACTTCAAACCAAATGCGATTAAAAGAGACAAAGATCTCACTACATACTTGTTAGAGGAAAACTGCAAGAGAAAGAGATAACAATTATAAGTATATACACAACCAATGTTGGGGCACCCAACTATATAAGATAAATTTTAACAGATATGAAAAAAAAAATGAGCAATAACATGTTTGTGTTGGTAAATTTAATACTCCACTGACACAAAGAGATAGATCAACCATGCAAAATATGAGCAAAGGAATAACAGAACTAAACTGAATTTGTGAAGAAATGGACTTAGTAGGCCTTTATAATGTTCCACCCAACAGCACTAGAATATACATATTTGTCAGCTACATGGGATGTTTTCCAAAATAGATCAAGTCCTAGCACATAGAACATGCTTAAATAAATGCAAAGGAATCAAAATCATCCTGTGCATATTATCTGCCATATTGCACAAAAATGTAAATTGTTGACAAAAGAAACAGCAAAAACTCTATAAATACATTGAAACTAAATAATACCCTCCTGATCAATCAGTGGGTCACAGATGAAATTAATGAAGAAATTAAAGAATATTTACAATCTAATGAAAATACAGATACAACTTACTAGAACCTGTGGGATTCAATGGAAGCTGTCTTAAGAAGGAAATTTGTAGCAATAAATTCTCGCATCGGGAAAACAGGATGAGCCCAAATAAACAATCATATGCTGCACCTCAAACTCCTAGAAAAAGAAGAGCAAGTCAAGACCAAATCCCAAAGAAGGCAGGAAATTATAAAAATCAGAGAAGAAATAAATGCAATGGAGATGAAGAAAACAGTACAAAGAATTAATGAGTTGAAGAGTTGGTTCTTTGAAAGAATAAATAAAATTGATAAACCCCTAGCCAACCCCATTAAAAGAAGGAAAAAAAAATTCAAATTCATGCAATGAGGAATGAAATGTGTGAAATCACTACAGACCCTATAGAAATTTAGAGGATTATCAATACTTATTTTCAAAATTTTTACTCTAACAGAATGGAAAATAAAGAAGAAATGGGTACATATGAACTACCAAAGCTAAATCAAGAAGATATAAAAATTCTAAATAACTCAATATCAGCCAATGAAATTGAAAATATAATAAAAAAACCTGCCAACAAAGAAAAGCCTAGGTTCTGATGGATTCACAACTGAATTCTACAAGAAATTTAGGGAGAACCTAATGCCAACTCTTCACAAACTCTTCCATAAAACTGAAAAGGAAGCAATTCTCCCAAAATAATTTTTGAGGCAAGTATTATGCTGATGCCAAAGCCAGAGAAGGACTCTACCAAAAAAGCGAACTATAGGTAAATCTCTCTCATGAACATAGATGCAAAAATCCTCTATAAAATACTAGCAAACAGAATGAAGCAAATAATCAAGAACATTATACATCATGACAAAGATGGATTCATACAAGGAATACAAGGATGGTTTAATATACAAAAACCATAAGTGTAACACACTACATCAACACAGCCAAAGACAAAAATCACATAAAAAAGCTTTTCACAAAGTTCAACACTCATTCATGATAAAAACACTACAGAAAATTTGAATTGATGGTCTTTATCTCAATCTGATAAAAGACATCTACAACAATATACTCAATGGACAAAAACTGAAAGCCTTCACTTTGAAATCAGGAACAAGACAAGGATGCCCACTGTCACCACTCCTGTTCAATATAGTTCTGGAAACATTAGCCAGAGCAATTAGAGAAGACAAAGAAATAAAAGGAATCATGATTGGAAAGGAAGAAGTG